TGTGGTTGGATCGCGAAAAAGGTGCGATCCTGTAGATGCTATCCACACTAATATATATATATATACATATTAAACAAAAAAGACAAACACATATAAACAAAATCCTTCTGTCAGGGCCTGGGCCTGGGATACATATGAGTAGATAACTTGAACACTCCTGGCGTGAATGCTGAGTCGAACCTTTACTCTTCCCTGCAACAGTCCCCATGAAGAACCGTCGACCAGCTTTGACGAAAGTTTGGAAGGTCCCGCAGAAGGATGGGGAAACAAAGGAGTGCCGGAAGAGCCAAACGGACATACTGTATATATTGGGTCTATCCGAGTCTACCTGTAACAGTGGATGATAGTGGTTAGGTTGCAGGCCTTGTTCAAAAATAGTAATATTTGTTGACCGACTGTTACAGGTAATAGGACAGATCCAATGTATATACACCCTAACTAGCTATCGGGGTTGGCAAACTCCCTGTAGCTCCTTGGCTCCTGGAATATGGATACTGGCTCCGCTCCTTCGCTCCCTTCTGAGCAACAGCTAGCTAAGAATCATACCCGGCCCTAGGTGAATGTTCTGAGACCCCCAAAGCCTGCAGGGTTTTCCAGCCTTGCGAAGGCAACTTCCAGCCATGGTGGGGAAAAACATCAAATCTCGGAATCCCAGGCTTGCTGCCCTGAAAAAGAAGAGACCTATGCGGAGAACTTTTTCGGAGTTGGCCCTTGTGTATGCCGCCAAAACACAAAAGAAACACCATGAAGATCAAGGTGTGGATTTGTGTTGTCCATTCGAATCAGGCCCAGTCCGTTCTATCCTTATATGTTTTTCCTTTCTGGATGTTCATCTCAACTCGAACTCTGCTTAATGTTGACCTCAGAATTATAAATGGACCGTGAAGGATAAGTTTTATTAAACTTAACCAAACAATATAACTATATATATATCATATTATAAATGGACCCCATATTATTTGGTGTTCTTTCTTGACCCTGATTTTCAGCTGCTTCCAGACCTTTCCTTTCCTTTCATTTTCTTGTCGTTTCCTTTCCTTTCCTTTTATGTTCCTTTCATGTCCTTTTCTTTCCTTTCACGTCCTTTCAATTCCTTTTCTTTCCTTTCATGTCCTGTCTTTCCTTTCATGTTCCGTGTATTTCAAAATCAAATCAATATGTTTTATGGCATTTTTCTGGATTTAACATTATTGAGGGTCTGCTCTTGATCAAGGGGGAGGGGGGTTACTATTCAGAGGCTGTTTCACAGGGTTGTGAAGCGTTTGGATGATAATCCTCTTGTTTCACAAGGCAAAGGAAGACGGTTTTCGAGCTAGCGACATAGGTGGAGAGATCAACGGACAAGTCAATAAAAATACCGGTGAAGCCAATCTGGCACATGTCACATCGACCCCCCCTGTGCATGGATTCTGAACATGACAAGACGTCTAGGCTTGCCACTCGGGGTGGCAGAAGCATAGAGGTCCATCGAGAATGGCTTTGACCCTGGTATTATGTTCAGTAATCGCACAGCTTGCTGCCGGCAGGCCCCGTTCGCATTGCGCTTCTCTGAAACCGTCAACACCTGGAGCGAAACGAAACCAAAGGGCCAGCGATTGTCCGCTTCAGCGCAGCAGCTGGAAACGCAACATCCAGCTTGGGAATCGCTTGACGTCAACGGTTTGGTTCATCTTCACGCCACTAGACATGAAGATGAATGAGTGGATGATGAGTGGAAGGGCAAGGGCTTATCTTGGAGTTTGCTCTGACTGGCTTGACACACCGTATTCAAAAATATGTGTATCAATCATGACAAAATAAAACAACATGTTTGCACATGCTTGCTGCTTGCGAAGGAGAGCTCTGATAAACTTGGACAACTCAATAAAATCATGAACACACTTACAACGAGGATCAACAAAGCAAACCTGTTTGTTGAACCCACTCCCCGGAACAGGATGAGTCCACCACACGGACCCCCCCAAACCATGGACATGTCCATTCCATGTCCTGTGATTCAGAGCGATTCATGTTTGGGACTTTGAGATGAAGCGGTTATACATTGAGACATCGCTCCCGCTTGAGCCATCACTCCAGCTCCCGAAGGTCCGCACGCTGGGAGAGACCCTTTGGAAGAGCGCTGCAGCCCGAAGCTCCTTGGTCGTGCTCGTGCTCGCTCGGTGGTCTGGTGAGGCTCTTCAGCGGACGACAGGTCTTGTGAGGCTGAAGCACAGTCCGAGGGAAATGACTCCTCAAGACAGGTTACAGGTTATCCACCGACGTGGTAGGTCTTGACGACGTGGTTTTAATGTCTGAAAGTGTAGTCATGTCAACTCCCACACAACAGGTTGAGGCTGGTTCCTGCCCAGGTTCGGTTGGGCCGTCCGACTGTCTTCCTCCATGAATTTTGTTCTCAATATGTCACACAACAGGTCGAACTTGACACATGTGGCTGTGGGTAAAAACATGTAAAAACCAGGATACCTTGGTGCGCAACAACCTCCGCATGCTCCCCAAACATCCCTTGACACAACAGTGGTACCAGGTGTGATGGGGGTGAGAATAAACACAAAAAGAATGGTTGGTGACATGCATGTGTGTAGAGTGGCAACAAGCCACTAATTAAAACACGATGAACCACAGCAGTAAAGTCTGAACTGGGACCAACGGCTCGTGAATTAAGACGGACAAACGGCAAAACTGCTCTAATGCACTATCACTATCCTGATGCAACTAATTCGGAAATGGATCGTGTATCGAACCGTATGGATTATGTTTCCTTTGTTTGTTCCAAAGTTTCCATGTTCAGCTTGTATGTCTCTTGGTATGGGATCTCTGGCTTCATTGTGCTGTCTGCAGAAGCGCTTGTGTTGTATCGACATGCATTGTTGCATCCATATGATACCGGGGGATTTTCACAAACTTCAAGCTGATATGGTTGTATATGGTCAACAGCGTTTCTTTCGCTTTTGGATTGAGACATTAAGGCCTAAAAGGCAAACCCCGCCAAATTTGTCATGTAAGTAAAGCCCAGGCCCAGTCTCTCCAGGCCAGCATCTCGTTATGTATATATACTGCAATATATATATATATGTATATATGTTGGGACAAGGTTGATTTGTGCGTCCATGCCTCAAGATGTCACGTCGAGTCAAACAAATGGTTTCTGCTTGGAGTTTCTGTTTGACCGTTGATGGCCAGGCAAGACTTGTATGTGTGGGTACATGGGATCAAGTGCAGAATGCCAGTGGTCAATGTAAAACTTATAGCTAGCTCTGTCTATCGGGGTCACTAGCATCTGGCTATGACCAAGTGGTGGCCATACCAGCAATTTGGCAAATTTGTTAATCTGTTATAGCTTTGGTGCCAGCTTTGGTCTGTTTCATTTTGTATCCTTTCTGCACCGTGGCTTCATTAAGAGCAATGATGTATCTCCATACAGTATGCATTACCTTTTGAATGGTGTGACTTCACCTTGTCAGGATACCTTGGTTGAGGTCAAGCTACATGGTGGATCAGGGCTCCAGGTTTTGACCCGCCCATCCGCATGTCATCCATTATTTCCACCCAATTCCGAATGGGACAGACCGACAGCCATCAAACGGTTCACCTCTGGCATCAAGGCTTGCGCAGTCGCTGGAGAGGCCTTGGCAGATCATGCACGGCCAGGTGCACAGAAGAAATGGTCTGTCATGGCGAAAGTGGAAAAAAGAGTGGTGCTGAAGAACATGCTTTTACGGTTGCTTGCGCTGTATGTACCTTGGTCTGTGACTGATTGATGTGTCAATAACTCGTCGGATTGTTTTGTTGTTTTTTCTTCCGACGCGTCACGGTTTTGTGTCAAGAAACCGCTTCGTTTCTTCTGGGTTCCCGGTACAACCTCACCAGGATTGAACAAAAGGAATCAACGACTCTTGCCTGTTTTCCCCAGTGGAATGCAACAACCAAATTCAGTAAGGTCATGGTGGAGTTTTCAAGCTCGCAAAAACACGCGGACAAACAGACCAGGTGACAACCCTGTGACCAAACAGGAAACACAACTGTGTGCAAGGAGTCTCCCCATCAACATTATGGCGGCCTGGGAAGTTTCACCATATTGAACCCCACTCTTCAATTGTCACACCTATCCCTGATGCTCTTGGATCAGAAGCTCAAGCTCCACGGAGAAAAATCGCTTTGGCCTCCAATCTCAGTCAGGACCTCCCTCCTCATCCAAGCATCATTCCTCCACCCATTCCCCGGAAGGTGTGCGTCCCAGCTGCCGCAGGGGCAAGCAATCCAGCGAACAGCGAGCGGCGAGCCAGAGATGGCTTGGCCACCTGGGCCAGTGTGGTGTCGGTTGCTGCAAATGGTGGACGGTGGACTGGTCGCCAGCCTTTGACCCATCCCAATGTCTGGGCCCGTTCTCCCCGGACGGCCGCGGTGTCCAACGCTGGCTGGGGCGAGTCGAAGGTCACAAGTTCCATCGGTGGAAGTGGAGGTTTCACCCAGACGTGTGAGTGGAACAAGAAACGGTGGAACAGAGCAAGAAGAACACCATGGCCCAGATGGTGGAAGCTTCGGAGGTTTTTACAGGAACTGAGAGGGCGGGCATGAGGGTCACGAGGGGATGATGTCAAAACTTAAATAGGCCCAAATGAAATGACCAAACAGAACTGCGATTCTACTTATACTATAATACAGTACAATATTACTAGATATAAGTCTGTCTAGGGGCCTTGACATGTTGACGAAGGTTTCGCGGGGAAGTGCATAATGCAGAACTATACAGAACTGAAACACGTGTTCTAGACACTCAATTAGAATATACGAAACAAATTAAAACAGTATGTCAAAGCTTAAAGCTCATGTCAGGAAAACAATAGAAAGAACGCTGCACATGAATCATTACTAGGACCCCCAGTCGGGGTGGGTGCATTAACCGCCCCGGCGATCAGCTCGTTTCGGGGCTATCAACAAAACTTATGGTGTCCTGGTAGGAGCAATGCACGGCTACTAGGGGCTCCTGGCATCGTTACTAGGAGCAAGAAGCTACTAGGAGCAAAGGGCATCGCTACTAGGAGCAATGGACGCTGCTAGGGGCTCCTGGCCTTACTACTAGGAACAAGAACGCTACTAGGAACAAACATTCTTTTTTCACCCCTTATGGTGTCCTGGTAACCATGAATGGTTCTGCCCGGGTGTCCGCGGGAGAACAACCGTTCTCGGCGACAGACCGCTGAAGCGGTGAGGAGCGGAACCGGAAGGTCCCCGGTACCACGGCAAGTCAATCCCCGTGGAAGCAAGGAGTCTGAACCTGAAGTCTGTCACGCTACATATGCTTGATCAGGGGACGCTTCATTGCACGAGCGTGCGGCTTCCAGGGGAGATCTGATTCGAAGGCGCTCGAATTCGAGGGATCGCGCAGGTGGTTTCCTCCAGTTGTGTTGTCCAGGAACTTTGAGACTGGCCTCATCTCAGCAGACAGAAAGCGTTGACCCAAGGTAGAGGAACTACGTAGTTCTAACATGACATGTTAGAACTACGTAGTTCCTCTACCTTGGGTGAACGCTTCAATGTCTATATATGGGTTGATATGTACTCCGTCATCTCCGTGACTTCTCGCCCTCCTTTGCGCCGTTCTCTAACGGCATCTCCGTTCGCGCCTCGCGTTCGGTCGCTCGCTGAGCACCTGGGTGTGGAGGCTTGAGACGTCGAAGAATTCATTGGATTGGGTTTCAATAAGGGAACATTTGCAGGAAACCATGGGTTTCACCCCCTAACCACCATGAGTTTCCTTCCTAGATGTTCCCTGAAATCACCAATGCTGGCGCCAAGCACTCACCCCAAAAAAGATACCTGGACCATCCTGTGACCCTCTTGTCTGAGGTGTCCTGGCCGCCAGAGGCTTCCAAGTGTGGTCTGGACGGTCCGTGATGGCAGGCCCGAGCATCGAACATCGAACCCGACCAAAGCAAACGTGATGCGGGAAACAACTGGACAATTATGGTCAACTTGACCAGAATACAAGTTGCAAGATGTTGCAAGTAGACTGGGAACTGGACATCCATTCGCCAGCAAATCAGTGGATGTACTCCTAGATTGGTGGTTTCCAATGGTTCTGTGAGCTCTTTCTCCTGGCCCAAATAGATCGGACTTCCGTTCCTTCACCCTCGCCGACCGCTCCGACCAGGTCACCTCCGATCATCTGCGACCGCACCCGCAGTCGCCATCACAATCGCAGGACTTCGCGGTGCGGTGCGCTCTTTCACCGTGGAGGACCGCTGTACATGGCCGAAGATGGCCGAAGCTCCAATCAAAGAGCCAAAACCCCAGACAGGACCTGTCTGGGACTGGAATACATATACATCGTTACATCGTCATACATTGATCCCCCGAAACTCACCACCCCAATGTAGGTACATGTGGCAGTCCCATTTAGTCATGTCTGGGAACCCAAAACATGCGCGTCATTGCGCACGACGTGTACACCTCAATCGAGGACCGCTGTACAATCTCCATCGAGGACGTCGAGGACCGCTGATGTTATCGATTTTCTCCATGCGCACGTCAGTCGCGTCGCCTCCAGCGCCGGCCAGACGCACACAGCGCGCTTGGGACATGCAGGGCGCTTGGACCATGGGACTCGCCCGAGCAGTTGCTCTCTTTGGGTTCGTCCAGGTGTGGATCAGGTGCGGAGTCGCTGAGGTGGCCACTGAGGTCTTTGAACAAGCTGTGGATGGCATCGATGGCATGCTGTGGAGGCGTGCGGGTTCCAATGCCCGCAAAGCTCATGGTGCGGGAAAGGATGGGTGGTGATGCAGGCGTCCAAGCTTGTGCCAGGCAGTCCCAACGTTTCCAAACCGCAGAGTTCACTTCATAGAGATACAAGTGACAAGACTCAGCAGCTTCAACACCGATGGGCTGAAAGCGATCCACATAAACCTGTGCAGCCCACTTGGTCCCACCGCCCATTCGCAAAGGGTATGATGCTTCCAAGTCTTCCCAGATCACTGCAATCCTCGCGTGTAGATCAGGGACTTGGAAACCCAAACACTCCATATATGCATACATTAACCCCTGAAACCACCCCGATTTGTATGTAAAGATGCCAGCCCCATGGAGTGCCGGGGCAAGGCCAAGCCAAAACCATGTCTGAAATTCTTCCATCCCAAGGCTCATGGCATCTGCCCAGAGGGCTTGTAGCACGTTCCGGCGGAAGAGTGCCAACACATGCGGCTTCCGCGGGACACTCTGTCCCAAGGAGCCGGCTGCAACATGAAGATACGGATCACAAAGCCGAGCGATGTCCTATCACAGGAGTGATTGATGTCATGGCTTCACAAGTCCAGATAAGCATGGTCTGACTTGGGGTTATAAGAATGCCAACTGGAGAACCACTAAGTTATACATCCAAAATGATTCCCCCCAAAAAAAATCACATGTTATCATATTGTTCACAATATATCTATACCGTTTATACTGATTATGTCTTCTCAATGTTCATTGACTCACTTCCCACGGTCTGGCTTATATATAGCGTCTCTGAGCTTTCCAACACACCATGGTTCATTCCAATCTGCTGATGGGTGGACCAGTAAGATGATCTACAACTCTCAACAACATCTGTGGATCTGTGGATATCTGTGGTATTATCTAGGGTTGTGTCATGTTTGGTAAGTCAAAATACTTATAGTGGGTTGAGAGTAAATGGCACAATCCCCAAGCTTGGTGGTTTAGTAGTGGACCCCAAAAATAAAAGACATCTTGGGGTGCCAGTGCCATCTACTCTCAATCCACTGTAACTTGATACCTCTTGAGATCCAAATGCCTGGATCCTAGAAGACGATAGGCTGGTCTCAACAGATCTCCCCAATGGAAACCACCTCAAACAGCAGCAGCACCCCCCCAAAATGCTTATTTTTTACACATTCCAGCTTCTTCAAAGTGACCTCTTTGGAGTTCCTAAGTGACCTTTTACAGGCCCAAGTGACCTCAAACTGGGATATGAAGGACGGTCACTTTGAAGAACCAGGTTATTACGGTGATTGAATGGTAAACAATGCATGGTAAACACATCCTCCGGATCTCTAGGGGTGTCATCAAATACAGGTGCTGGAAACAGACATGGTAAACGTGTTCTCTCCGTGTTCGTTTTTTTCGTCCTCAGGGAGATTCACCCGCCCCTCAGGGCGAGCTCGAAAGTCATGGCCTTCAAAGGACCAATGGATGCACTGGCCAAAAGTGAGCTGGGCCATGGCAGCGTCAAAGATGGCATCAACACCCTCAGCACCACCTGACCGAACTCCGCCGCACCCGCGCGGAAGGAAAGACGCGCGGAACCGCGTCTGAGCGTGTTCGGGTGAAAAAAGACACGGAAAAATGAGGCGTCCCAAACGAGGACCTCATATGGGAGACATCGTGTACCATCATGTGGGGGTCTCAAATCGTTTTGAGGGACCGTTCCGGCTGGTTTCACGGAGCGCATGAGAAAGCCATTGAGCCACATCCACCTGAGAAGAGCACCAAGGACTCAACAGCTGCAGGTCCTGAGAGTTGACATCGCCGAAGGATCTCAGGCAAATCTGGCATGGCAGCACATGTGCGTGCCGCGATGCTACGGGCGCCACGTGCGCCACGCTCGTGCCATGTTCGTGTTGGTGGCTTATGCCGACTTGGAGCTCCGACTTGTGGTCCATAGAGGTCAGGGGAGCTCTGCGACCAGGGCTTTGCCGTGTGGTCATGGCATCCAGGTGCCATGGCTTGAAAGAGAGCAGGGGCAGAGGATGGAGGTCGGAGATCTGTTGATTCATGTGGTTTCTGGATCTCGGTGGTCGGCATCAACTTTGACATGTTCGGACACTCAGGCGGATGCGCCGGATGCTGGGTCTTGCTGCTTCGGGTCGTGCTTTTGCCCACCACCCAACTGATTGAGCTTCAGAACAATTCTCAGAAGATAGCTATAGATGGTCTGCTGAGCCCCAAATATTGAGGAACCCAAAAAAGGCAACGGCGCCATGCTGTTCAGCCTGCTCAGCATGGCCAACGCCCCCCGTTTCCGGACGGGGACCGGGGCGGTCCGGGCGGCCCGGTCCCGAGCCGGGTGGGGAGTTGGGCGGCATTTCTGGAGCTCTCAGAGCTGAAGGTCCCGGAATTCGCCACGTGTTACATGGCAAAAAACGAACAGGGGATGAAACTGCCCATGAATTCAATCTGATTGGCTTTGCCATCCTGAATCTGTGAGGTGTATGAGGTGTCCAAGCAAACCTTCTCTCAAGTCAATTCGCTTAACCCACCGAGTTTGTGCATCAAGTACGGGGCCCCCAGCCGGACTCAGGCCCAGGGAGGACGTACAAGGTCTGGCGGGTGCAGGCAAACGATGTTTTCGTGCAATGGTTTGCTAGCCACCAGCCCTGAAACAATCCAAAACTGACATCGAAGAGGGTGACGAAGGGGGATGGCAGTCGAAGTGCCATTGACAACATGGAGATATGTAGGGCGTGTATGAAAATGGGACGACCTCCCAAAGACCCAATTGGAAACCAACATCCATTGGTTAGGGGTCTCATCCTACCCAAATCAATCAGACAAACGACTTGTGGTTGTCCTCGAATGTCCTCGACCTGTTGCTTATGAGTCCTGCATCTTCAGTCTCTCCCCATCTGTTTGCTCCGAGGAGAGCTGTCTTTGTGGATGTCCAGTGTGGCTCATAGAAGTTCACCAAGGCAAACCCACACAGCTTTTAGCCTATCGATGCCTTGTGGTCGAAGAGATAGGATGATAGGATCATTGTAAATGATCCAATGACACCCTGAGTGGCCTGGCTTTTGTATATGTCTTATGACGTTTTAGCACCACACCAGGCTCCTTGGGTGTTCTGGGAGGTTGCTCGTGGAGGGTCACTTGCACATCATCCTGCATGTCCAAGCTACAAGTGCTGGAAGAAATCCTCGCCCCTACAATATGAGGAATAAATAAACCATGCAGTAGAAACTTGGATCATGTCTCAGGTACTGCAGGATTTCTTCCCTCATCAACATAGGGTATTAATCATGAACATTCAAAGTCAACTCTGAGGCTCTTCTTTATCCTGAGTCTTTTGGGAGGCCTGCCTTTTGTTGATACAGTACCAGCTGACTGGACAATGACATCGGACATGTGGAGGCTATTTTGATAAAAATACAGATACGTCATGATACATGATATCAGTTATTCCCTGCTATACTGCCTTGAACACAGAAAAGGCCAAATATAGAAGGCAATGCCTGCTACATCATGATATCCTTGGTCTGTCTCTCTTTAAAGGATCGAACAAGTTAACCGACTCATTGGACCGTGCGATTGGCATCTTGATCCTCACAGGGAGAGATGGCATGAGAGGTTTCTCACACAATCCCTCTGAATCCCTGAGGGCAACTCATACCACAGGTCAAGGCAGCTCAAAGGACATGACAAAGAATTCAAGGGGCCCCGAACAGGATGGGAACACCCGGCACAGCTTTCAGAATCCAGCTAAGCAATGTTTGTTACAGGGACAACGCCTTCCACCTTTTGTAGCCAACGCCTTCCAAACGGTCGTACTACTCCTGCGCAAGGTACCTTCTGAAGTTGCTCGGAACTCCGATCAAAACCAAGAGACCTGGGGTCTGGAGGTCACCAGAAAAGGACCCGTCACCTGAGACCTAGGGTCCCCAGTCCAGTGCTGGGATGGTGGATACTCTCTGCGTCCATTCGGGTTGGAATCAGCCTCGACTCGAATCCACGAGTTGGACCCTCCCCCCGAGGCACCACCCCGAGGCTGTGGAATAGAAGCACCTCAGCGGCGCGGGCTGCGATGTCGAGCCAAACACCACCCGCCCGCGACCCAGCTGAACGGCGCCGGGTGAACGGTGTGCCGGCCGAGAGGGAGTCACCGGTGAAAGTGCTCCAACTTGCCCCATGAAACTTAGATGATCTTTAATTCTAATACTAATTTTTGTTAGTAGTAGCTTCTTAGCTCCTAGTAGTAAGGCCAGGAGCCCCGTTCATAGCGTCCTGTGCTCCGTTCGTAGCGATGCCCTTTGCTCCTAGTAGCGTCCTTCCCAGAATTTCTTATGTCCTGCTTCATGGAGGCCCGGGCCCCAAAAAGAGTGGCTGCGCTGATTCTACCGCATGCCCAGGAGTCCGGGAACCGACCGCGAGCTTTTTGGTCCGCACTGACAGGTGGCCGATGCCAATATAGAACAGATACTGACTTGCCTGGATCTCCAACGTCATCTATGGTCACAAAGCCCTTACTATCGGCGATGTCAACAGCGTGCAAATGGATAGATGGCACAACTCCGAAAAGTTGGATCTATATGGAGGTCCAAGTGAGCGGTTTGTTTAAAGCTAAACTCTCTATTGTGTGGGGGGGCCTGTCTCGCTTAGACTACTTTAGTATGTGGTCATGTCACAGTATCTCATTCAGACATGTTCAAGCAACTTTAGATAACTTTAGTGTCATCAAAGTAATATAGTAATTAATCATAATATCTTGTAATATTTCAAATATCTCGTCTGTGTGGGGGCCATTTCTTGTCCACCAGCGAATACTGTTGTTGGACAAACCTATGCCGTAGACTACTTCAGTCAAGATCAAATGAATATGCCTGATTCCTCAAATCAACATCTGGAAGGCTTACGCCATTCAATCTTCAAGCATCGCAAGTCTCATCCCGAGTGGTCCGTGTCGGCCAGCTTTGGATTTTAGATACTGACTCAGCCAGTTATTGTGCGGAAATAAAGGTTAACGTTTTTTAGTGGGGAAAACTAACCACTCCCCCAAAAAGGTTTAAACATGTTAAAGTTTATCCACTGACTTGGTAGGACTATGTTGGAGATCAAGGCCGGAACGGCATCCTACAGGGAAGGAACCGGCGCGAAGAATGGGCGGAACGGGCTCCAAGATGTTCTGGCAGAGTCGGCCAGTTCCAAGATGTAATATGGAACCGACAACTGGCAAATGTGTCCAATTCAGATGGAAACGATGGAACCGTCATGACGACGTTTCTGCTACCGCCTAGCTAGCAGGGGGTAGGTAGGGTGGTTGCGTCACGGAGAAAGAAAAAGACGACCTGACCCCGAATCCCAATCCACTATAGCTCGAACTATTTAAATGGCAAATAATTAGAGGCCATCCTTAGATCAAAGAGAACTCCTTTTCAGAATCCCTTTCACCAATTCATACCAATTCCCAACTCTCGCTTGTTTTTTCACAATTCCAAATCCTTGCCAACACTTAGCAAGCTTGGAATAAGTTGTGGATTTGTTGGGTGGGAGTTTTGAAGTGCCAGCTCTATTCAGTGCATTTCAAGGGGGCAAGGGGTATAGAAAACCCTGCACACGAAGGGCTCGAATGCACTGAAAATCATTGAATTGGATATGCAAATGTGCCCAAACTCTGCGTCACGTAATTGAACGGAGGCTTACTCTTCTTCAGTTCATTGAGCAGGTTCTCCAGCCTCCAGGTCAATGGTGGTCGAGATTGGAGGTGACCCATTGTAGTTGGGGCAGGGAATGCATCCCCACCTGAGACCTCTCCTGTACCTGGTGGTGGTCACGTTCAGCCAAGTCGTTCAGCCACGTGCACGAAAAGGGTGGCCATGTTGATCCGATTGACCCCAGCATCAACATGCATCAACCATCGGATTGCAATCCAAAAGAGTTTCCAACAGAAGGAAACAACATTACAACTGACTCTAACTTAAATCTGTCACATCACACCTGTATTCCTAATGTCTAATTCAAACATATATCGCCCCGGCCGGCCCTGCAAGTCTGCCCCTGCCGCCACGGCGACTCACTCACAGACTCACTTCTTCTTGCGGCCGGCGACGGTCGCATCTGCCTGCCCTCGGCTCCGCAGCACCACCTGCTCGCAGCGATAGCACAAGTCCTGACCATTGGACGCAGCCGGACGGAGGCCGGACCGGCTGCGTAACCGCGAAACCGGGCGAAGCTTGTCCCGGATCGGGTGACTGGCGCAAGAACGAAGCAACTCTGTTGGAAGTTCCGAACACGGCGACCCAGTCAGACTCCGTAGCTTTAGTGTACCATGTCTGAAAAAAGTATAAAACAATTGACCGCCTAAGTGGACATTTAGCTTCACCATGGTGTCACCTATCGACCCATGGTGTTCTCCACAGATATTTCGGGCACATGACGTATCCTCGATCTGAAGCATCGCCTCAGCGCTCGTCTCAGACAGGTCGACCGCCTCTGTGCTCGTTCTCCCCGTTTCGTTTCGTCTCAAACAAACCGGCTCCTGAATCGCTTCGTAGAGGCGTTGGTCGTCCCCGCGGATGATGTGTTCTCCAAACTTCTGTAGTTCAGCCTGTACCCCGCGTGCCGTGGCGACCGTGCTCGCCGCAGAACTGCGAACTTGGGATCGACCCTCAATGGTCAACTCGGTCGACCTTTCATGGCACATGAACCATCAACTCCAGGGCTCACTGAGGGTCTGAAGAAAGGGAATGGATCAAATACTCCGCAGATGGGATGGTTTCAATGCCCAAACGATGCCAAACGACGCACATGCCTACGGCCTAGGCCGTGGAGTGGCGGCGTGAGGTGTCAGGCTTCAAGCTCCACTCAGACTCACCAACATGCACGCAGACAATCTGGTTGAGAGTAGTCAGGGGGGGGCAGGTTCCATTCTTCTATGTCTATATTCTTCTATAGTGAGAGTACATGCACAGAGAGGTGTTCATTCAAAGCGAGAGGTGTTCGTCTGAGGACCTATGGGAGATCCCAAGTTGACAGGACCTATGGGAGTTGAATAAGGAGATGGAACCTCCTTCCAACTGAAGAGGTAGAGGCCCCCAGACTTCCATGTTCTGGCGTATGAATCGTCATCCACACCATCCACACCCACAGATTCATCTGTGCGGGCGAAGTGGAACTCTGGCCAAAGCTGTTTTTTGGGTGATGCCATTTACTAGGGTCAGACTTCTGACGTCTTGTTTGCTTGAAAAACGCGGCGAAGTGTTTTCAAGCCTCTCCGGCTGTGCCCGATCGTGCAAGCGCACCTTGGAGCCCACTGAAGGAGGTAGTTGTGTAAGAGCTGCCTCGTGTGCGAAACCCGCTCCAACAGGCTTCGGTTGAGCATCACTCTCGAGGACCGGCGTGACCCGTGAATCACGCAAGCGTACATTCATCTCCGAGGTGTCGAATGAACTTCAAGTGAATTCACAGAGCAAGTCTTGTAAGGCGGGTGCCCAATTTGAGTCTTAGAATATGAGGATGAACAGTTCAAAGATGCTCAAAGCACGGGTTACCAAAAGCTGCAGTTCCTGACCCTCCAAAGAACCCCTAAACCCTTCAGGGTCCTCAAAACTTAGCAATTTGAGACCCCAAATCCCTCACCAAATCCTCCAATTCCCACATGAAATTCCCCTTTCAATCCTTTCTGGTCGGCTTTGATGCAAGTCACCAGCACCGACTGTCGGTAGTAGAGAATTGGATGTAATCCATCGTTTCATCGGTTTCGCTCCCGGAACAAGTCACTGGGTCCGTCCTCGCATGGATTGTATGCCTACATTGACCTCTCAAACCACCCCAATGTAGGCAAATAATTATATGCCAGTAGTCTCATGGAGTGTCTGGGGTTGAAACTTTCTAGATCTGTCCACATCCGATCACATCCCTTCCATGAGATCCACTGAATTTGCGTGATTTGGGTCGCAAGTGGGGCCCGGGACAAGGATGAGAGCAGCGTTTGGGACAAGAACATCGTTCAGAACCCCAGAAAGCGTTTCCTCCCACCTCCAGCCATGCAGGGAATTCCTGAGAAAATGCGCTCCGCAGATGGTCCTCGGCCAGAATGCGATCATGTGTGTTCTCCCGGAGTTCTATGTCGGGGTACCCTTTGAGAGACCCATCCGGGGACCTGTCGGACCTGTCGCAGGTTCAAACAGTTGTTCGATCAAAGTCTCGGCCAACCGGCTAGTTTGGAAGCAAAGAGAGGCCAATGGCGATGATCGAAGTCAAACGAGAATATATTAGCTGCCAAAAGGGAGATCCTTAGTTAGTTCATCAAGAGTAGTTCATTGGACGCCGCAAATGGATAGTCCATGATAGCACTTCACCTCGCCAAAGCACTTGCAGCTTAGCCTTTGAACAATCGTTGGGTAAAGAGTCAGCGGCCTGTTTCAAATGACGTGACGAATTGAACTAAGTGAGACCTCGAAAGTCTAAGAAATTGATGTTGTTGAAAAGAACATGTCTTAATTAAACCGTGCCTTCGAAGTTGAGAGCGCCGGGATGATCATCCCTTGGCGTGTGGCGTGTGACAGTTAATTTGGTATATTCTCTAACACCTCTGGACCAGCTGCATCAGGTTCCTTTTTCGATGTCCTGGCTCGGCGGTTCCAACGAAAGCATTTCCATTCCTCACATACACCACGCCGTCCACGTGAACCGCATCACAGGCCAATCAAAGGCACTAGGATCGAAGGGATCGAGTCTTGCACCTGGGCGAAAGTGCAATGAATCTGCTGAGAAACAAACAGACAAACAGATCGATTTTGGCCGACTCCTTCAGAGCGGAGATCCGGGGGTGTCAACAGCCATTCCACCATCACGCAAAGTCATGTCTTGGGTTTGCTTGAGAAACCCGGGAAGAAATAGAACATATTCCCCAGAGGTTTTACCAATAGGGAAAACACACATCACCCAAAACAAACGATGTCGACACGCTTGAGTGAGGCTGTAGAAGCATGTCGAAACATACATGACCTACCGTGAACATGGCAAACACCGGACAACTTCCCCGGGAATGCGCACAAACATAAATGTTGACCAATCCCAATGAAGATGTGCTTTCCGCCCACATCACTTGACCCGAAGCCCAAGACCTGGTCACTTCGGTTCGCCCCGCCTTCCATCACTTCGAAGCCTCGCCGAAGCCGAAGCTTCACCCCGGTCACCACCGAACGGTCGGCGAACGGCACGCTACGCCGCACGAGGCGCATATTTCGTCGGCACGCCGGCGATGAGTCGAAAAATGGCTTGGACGAAGCCCGGAGCCACCTGCCGACGCGCTGTTGCGCTGGGGCTTTTTGAGCAGAGCGAGCGAGGTCCAGTGGGTGTGTTTTCTGGGTGGAGGGGGAAGCTAGCAGCTAGACGAAGTAGATGTCCCAAAAAACGTTTTTCCATGTCCTGACGTTTTCGAAAGTTTGGAAGTCACTATATCCTATACAAATGACAACAGGATTACTTTTTGTTTAATTGCCCCCGTAGAAACCGATCCAAAACTAGTCATTAAGTCCAGGGTGTGAGTAGATATAACTGGCTAAATATGGATGGATAGGTGTTCAGCTCACTTGGCAAAAGAATTAAAGTAACTGCATCAAACACCAGAGACCTCTACTAGGGTCCCAAAGACGCTCTTTTCGCACCATTTAGGGCCTGGACATTCCTGTTTCGGATCACCAGGGCTTCATCAGTGGGTTTCACACTCCATCAGTGGGTTTCACATGGTTTGACAACCGCTCGCCCCCCCCCACCCACACACACTGTAATCTGTCCACGTGGGTAGTAAAAACTATACAATTGTAACTATACTATAATTAGCTACAACTTTAATTACAGTATATAACTGCGGTACACTCCTTGAATTATTCATGACAGTGGACAATAACACGTGTTTGTATACGAGGAAAATGGTCATCCAAGGAGTCATTGTCCACTTCCATGATTATTTGTTCCAGGGAGTGCATAACATCAAATTGCCATAGATTCGAGCAAATTGAGTGACCTCTCTTTCTTTGAATCCGCAACCCCACCGGTGAGTCAACCGTCATTACGCGTTCCACATGGCTTTTCCAACCCGGTTTCCGCCGCCCCCCTTCCATCCAGTGTCACGCCTGTAAGGCGTGTGGCTGCAGCAGTTGCCCGATCTTCGCCTTGGACTCATCCGCATATCTGCGCCCCAGCTTAAAGGTCTCGCCGATGTGCGAGAGGACTGACTCGATGAAGGCGATGATGGCCTGACCGCGAGAGAGTGACCAGGGACCCGGTCTTGGACGACCAGGTCCCCTGCTTGGGGTGTGTTTTTTGGGATTGAAACAAGGCAAAGGAGTTGATGAAACGGGTACAAATGGTTCTGTGCAAGATCTCAGGGTCCCAAGACAACATGCTATATTGATCTATATTGTATATGTGTTATAAGGACATATATTAGGACCCTGTTGCACTTGAGCAAAGTCCTTACACACCCGCAAAGTCCTTGGTGGGAGACCATCAAACATCAAACCAATTCTTTTTTTGTGCGTTCGGGTTGACCAAGAAACTCTTGCTGTCCGGCGGAGTTCTGGAAGGTCCAGTTCACAGAGAAACTACATTGGTTTCATCTGTTTGGGTTTGCTTTCTTCACTTCCAATCTGGCAAACAACAAACATAATCGTCACTTCTCATCCCTCGGGGAATCTGAACAGGCAAAGGGGTACATCGCACCTGTTCAATCCACACCTCACCTGAGTCTGTTGAAGGACTGACAGCTGTTGATCACAGACTCAGTTTCAATTGCTTATAACTTATATATATATATATATAACCTAATGAAAGCTCTATATCGAGCTACAGCAGCAACTTCAATCCGTCATTGTAACACTTGCAAGATTTCCTGTCTAATTATATATATATATTACATATATAGTTATATATATAAACCGTTAGAATTCTATACGGTCAAAACCCTCGCGAACTGAGCGTCCAATGAGCTTTGGGATTCAATATTTTTCCGCTTGTATGCAAATTCTACGGAAGCTGTAAACTCAGTTTTGTCCAATAACTTATCAGACTTCAAGTATATATGTAAAAATATGTAAAACAACAATGGGCCAATGATAGGAGAAATTGCTGTATGAGAGGTCCGGGGGATTCTCTACAGAATTGGAAGACCTCAAAGTATTTTCCTTACAAAATGATGGCTCCTGTACAAACTGAGGTTCCGGGAAAACCCTTATTCGGCTATTCCAGCAAACATGGTCAAAGATGGGGTCACTACAAAATGACATGTCAGCCACACACGGTAAAATCAGCGCAAAAGACAATGATCTTGTTGCCATCATAAATCTCAGGCTCAAGAGCCTAGTGTCTCTACAAAATGATATGTCAGCCATCCAGAAATTGACATCTTTCAGCACTGACTCCAGAACGTAAGATCCCTACAAAATGACGTTCCAGGGTAAGCTTTCTAGGAGACAAGGCCAAGATACTGGCCAAGATCCCTATAGAATGAGCACCCCATTTTTAAAAATGTTGTAAAACATATTCTATATAAAATATTGATCTGTAAGGTACCCAACATTTCCTGATTCTATAGGGGAAAATTCTGAACGAGGATTGTATATATAATATGTATCTAATTCTAGGGGGAGTCCATCAACCTTTCTCTCTTCACTGGATGCCTCCGCCTGGCCCTGACGGACGGAGGCCGTGCCTCCACCGCTTCCTTTTGCTGCACGAAAATCGCCACGCTCCACCTGGGGCGATGTGGTTCGTCCACGGACCGTTGGTTCGGTTCGGTTGGACGTCAACGGACTTGCGGAGTTAGTGGGTTTTGGACCTCAAACTGAGCGGAGTTGGTGGTCTCTCGGTCGGTGCAAGCTGGGAAGTCTGGGAGGATGTCATGACATTTCGGTTGAAGATGATCGAAGCAAGTCCTGGAATGCCCAGAGAGTTATGCTTTTGTTAGACCCCCTTTAGGGTCAGTGGAGGTGACAAAACCCCTACATACCCCAGCAGCCCCACATTGAAACTAGAACTAGACCTGGTCTAGCCTGGTTGTTGATATCCTTCTCAAAAGCATGGCTTCTTAAGAGGCCCAGTTCCCAAAAAGCCTCTACCGCCTCTACCTTCAAGCATCATTCAAGGCTTTGGGCCCTGTGCTGCGCCTGCAATCTCTCAGTACCTGGAAACCAGAAAGGTTCAAGGTTAGACAACATTCCAACATTCCAGACTGCCACAAAATTGCAGTCCGGTCACAGCTGCATAGTCGGCTGCAAGGTAGGAGCTTCCAAGACAATTCTGGGAGCAAATCTCAAGTATCTTTCAAACATCCCAAAGAAGTCCTTAGTCTTAGTCTTTGAGCACAAAAAAGAGATGAGGAAAGCTTTGTTTGGCTGCACAAATCTAAAGAAGTTCAACAGGTTCAATTCAATTTACATTTCTCCCCACTTGAGAAAAGGTGTGGATTTCAACTTTAGCTATAGTATCTGCCCTCATTTGTTCACCCCTGTGGATGAATACCGGTCCCTATGGAATGCGGATTCATACAGATCCCCCTTGGAGTGTCTGGGGGACGATGGGGACGAAAGGATCGAAGTTTGGGGTGCAAAAACTGTGGCCATCCGTGGCCTTTTTGATGTCCAGGAGTCTTCGACCAGTTCGGTGATCTCTTCCAGCTTGTCTTTGGAATGCATGAGGCATTGCAAACCAATGCTACTGAGCTGATTGAAGAGCTCCGTGAGCACCGGCACAATCTCCGGATCTTTGGCATATGTATGAGCCAAGATCTCTGCAGAGTATAGATAAGAAGAATGTTGATGCTGTTGAAATGCAGTCACCAAAGTGCGAGCCACATCGGACAAATTGGGTTTGAATAGATCGGGCACACAGCGCATAGAATGCTTCAACAATCGGCAGCTCTTCTCAACCTGTCGCTCGGTGTGCGGGGCGAGGGGTGAACATGGGCTTCGGCTTCCATCCGATCTGCCTCGGGTACCCCGAATAGGATGGCGCAACGTGCATCCTATATACATTGTATCACATGCACAAATCATGCTGTTGCTCTCTTCCACGCATTCGTTGGGGACGATGAAGCAGCAATCAAGCAATGTTTTGGGATTTGAATGTGCGGAACCGGGAAATTCAAATAAAATCATCCCCAGAACAGGAATTACCCATTAGGGACAACAAACATCACCCTCAGCAAAACCAGGAGAATAGAACATCCTTGTTGGAGGCCTCTTTGCTCCCTGGCACTATGCAAACAAAAAGCGGTGGATCATGTTTCCGTGTGCCGGGAGTCACCCAACGACTCCGCCCCTGACGGTCACCCACCTTATTACGTGGTGTCCCAAGCAAAAGGTGGTGTCTTCTGCCTAGCTTAGCACCTCCGCCCAAACGGAGACCTATAAGTAGGGTAGGGTATGGCTTGTCCACTGGTGACGGAAGCAGCTGGTGCACCCTGGAAGATTAACATAGAACCTGAAAATAACTGGTTTGTAGAGGAAAACAGTCTTTCAGGGTGCCATTCTCAGGGTCCATGTTAGTTTTCAGGAGTGTAGATGAAAGAAGCCTGTCTTTTCGAGGCTTGGGACAATTCCTGTGATCAAGTCCATCCAGTCTGTCCGTGGTCGCCGAGGGAACCAGCTTGGAATCCGCAGGGTGCTGTGCCAAGCATTGCCGGATCACCGGCCAAAAGGTACTGCTGATCAGCTGACCTCATGAAAAAAAAGGAAAAACCTACCAAAAACGTGGATCCCTCCGGAGTGTGTAGGCTTTTTGTTGCCCTAAAGAGAGGTCCCCGCACGCATCTTGTCCAGGATTTGTGTGGTGTAAAGCAAAAAGAACATGGCCAGGAGCACCAGAATACCATCCACCCCTGAAAAGGCCAGGCCAGGAATACGGTATGTGGCTGATTCTAGTCTTCGGTGAGAAGCACTCTTAAACAACAGCTTTATCAGATCCTCACAGAAGTCTCTCAAACCTATGGAGAATTGACCATGTCTGTGCAATTCTAGTGGATGTGCCAGACTATAACCCATGACATAAAATTCGACCTCCGCATCCAAAAAGGGTGAACAGCCAGACGATCTCTTGCAGAACCCTTCGGGTCATCAGGACGAAGCCTTCGGCACTCAACCACGTAACGGTGGAAGTCCACCAAGCGGCTGGACGGGTGGACCAGCGGCTTCGGCTTATATCGCATGCCGAAGTGGCACTTGGTTTCTGCATCACATGTGGATCCCGATCATTCCACGCTCACATCTTTGTTAAGACAGCAAAAGTTGAAAGGAAACGCGATTGAGCCCTTCTACCCCCTAAAAATTTAAGACCTGCGTCTACATTCGTGAACATGACGGAAAATTCTACTGAGCACTTACCCCTCCAGATTGGATGCCTTTGTCCGTGCACTGTCATATTTTGCTGCCACGTGGCCCACACAAGCTGCTTTTGCACTGCCCTCGCGGATGTGAATCTGTCGGATGATCGTCGTGAGCCTGGTCACAGCATAGCTGGGGTAGCTCCGGTCCAAGCACCCAATGAAGCATCCCCCGGAAAATGCCGATATATTGACATATCAAAATGATATCAAAAACACATGACACACAAACTACACACACATAAAAAAGATACCATCGAAGCAATTCACTTGGTATTTACAGTTGTCACAGGTTGTCACCTTGTTGGTTTCGATGTGAGGTCGGTTGGGTTTCACCCCCAGGGCCCCAGTTCATTCGGCACATGGATGCTCACATATTCACTTCCCATGGTGCCATGGAGACTATGCGTAATACTAGGTATGTTGATGTATGTTGGGTCATGAACTTGTAGCCACCCCCTTCTCCAGCAAGAAACACTTCGAAAAAGCACTCGCAGTTCAGGGCACCGGGCACCCTGGTATACCCTGGTATACCCTGGCACAAAAGGGGCACCCTGGTAACTCATTCAGCTTGTTCTGGGTCTGTTCGGTACCATGGAAGCCGCGTCCGTCCGTGGACCGCCCCGCAAGGCACCCCGCAAGGCAAAAGGGGGGTCCTTTGCAAGAAACTGGTCGACCAACAGAGGTATCCAGTGAACTAGGACCCACCAGGGGTACCTATATAGATAGTCGAACTAGGGTTCTTCAACCTCTGCTGGAATATCCTAGATCTTCCAACTGGCATACAAATTTCTGCCTAACTTGGCTGGTTTGATGGATCATACAGGCACAAATGTTGTACAGTTGGAAGATCTAGTAGGTATGGATCGTTCATGATCGTTCAAGGTAATGAATTACACGCAAATGAGTTCCGAGACTGCGAAGGTTCAGTTTTGAAAGGAAGCAAAAACAAAGGCCTGGAGACGACCAAATACCACATATCACAATTCTGTAAGTGGAAAGACTCAATCAGATTTGGAGAAGATGTGCCGCCTCTACAGCGGGGAAATACTTCCCGGCTCGGCAGATCCAACTCGACTACTCACATCTAATTCTTCCGGCCTTCCGGCCTTGCTCCCAGCCCTGCCCGCATCCTCCAGCCCCAGCCCCACCAGCCCTGCCCCAGCCTGTCTAAAATCTCACTCAGGACCACGGGCCGTTCCCTTTCAGTGTTCAAGCCCTGCACCAGAGGGGTGACCAAATGTTCGAGCGCAGATCGAAAGGTCTCCTCCTGATTCAGGCTCGCCACCTGCACCGAGGTCTGAGCAACGGGAAGGGGTGCGAATGAAGTCTGGATGGGGTGCTTTTGAGCGACTCCAAATGTGTGGAGAACAGTCTGCAAACAAACCAAAACGCCACTGAACTCGGGAGTGACTTGACCAATCCACCAGTTATGCTACTTTCATCTGGTTGGGAGGGTCGAATAGCCATAGAGATCTCATGTTTTGCCTTGCAGTAAAACCAACAGCCCACCCCAAGTGCGGCCAGGGCGACGACTGCTCCGACCCCATCAACGATGAAGAGATGCATGCGGATGGGCAAAGCAATGGTAGAGACCTAGGAATTTCACGCTGTGAACAGTCTTCTCGAGTACCCGAGACTCAGACTCTTTTTACCCGGTTGTTTGGTAGACGAGCTCCCCGGTATCCTGTTACTACGCACATGTCACATGATTGATCATGTTTAGACCCTGTTTAATCTAAACGATCCTGAAACTCAAACGTCAATGTTTTTTTTGGGGATAACCATGCTCAAATAAGGATGGAGAGGTCAAAGTGCTCCAAACCACCACCAAGCATGATTTATCCAGGATTCAGTGCATTTAGCCTAGTTTCATCCAGTTCCACAGTTGCACTCGCCCCGATTGTTGGAGTGTACAGGGTTGGATCTGGCCGTGGTTTCGGACATTGAAGACCCAAGACTCAATGGATTGGTTCAAGAAAACATCTACTATACAGGAAACCATGTTCACCCCCCCCCCAAATCTATGGGTGTCCTGTCTAGATGTTCCCTTACTAGTACCAGTAAACCAATTCTGGAATATATTGCATTATTGCCGCATCCTTGCGGTGCTCTGCAAAAAGGAACAGTACATCTCTGTTGTGCCAATATAGACCCGTTAGAAGGGAACATCTTGAAGTTCCTCAGGCAAATAAGTAAAGGCAACTGGTCCCAAGCTCCTTCACAAAAACATGAACAGGATTTCTACTTCTTGTCAGAACCTGCTATGTTTTGCAATAACCTGTGCCAATCTGGGAGTTAATATGCCAAGCGTTAATTCAAGTTGATGCTATTCATATAAATTCGGGTTCAGCTCAAGAAATTATCCACCATAAACCACCCACCCTTTGTAATTTGGGTAATCCAAACCAACCGAGGTCTTCTCAAACCAACCCGGCCACAGATTGGCATGCCAATCTCAGCAAGCTAGTCTTGCTCCTTTGTCCATTTCGTCGAGTTCTCCAGAACCCGTCGGACGACCCATCCGAGAAGGCGGGGACTTTGGCCCCGTCAGGTCGTTCGCTGAGGCGCAGAGATCACATGTGCCGGTCGTCGATGAATCATGTGAACACGATGAACAAGGAGACCGTGAAAAGAGAGCCCGACTGGTTCATCAATGGAACAAAAACTGTTCAACAATGGGTGAAAAAACACTACTCTGTGAGCAGTGTGCCTTTCATCCCTGAAAGTAGGCTCTGTGGAAGGGAGGAAAGCAAAGACCTCGGGGTGCAAGTAACTACTTGGATAAGCACTTGCAACTTGCAACTCAGATTCCCAATGTTCTCTTGGATGATGAGATACGATGAGTCATGCGTTCATCATGCTCTGGAGGAAGATGGAATCCTACCTCTCTCTCATATATATAATATTACATATGTATCATTATTATATTAATGGATCCTACCTAAACTATAGAACATATTTCTTACCTCGTGGGGTCGGCCGTGTCTGGGAAGCCGGCATTCCATCGGTGTCTCCGGCTGCATCCACTGTGACTGGTGGGTAGGGAGACCTGAATGTAGAAAAAAAATCCGTCTCATCCCCCGGATTTGGGGAATCCACCCCGCGCAGTGTCCCGGGCCTCCGTTGTTTCCTTTTGGGGAGGTTCAGGTCCAAGGGGCGTAGAGCTGCGTCAGCTGGGGCACCAGATCCTGCAAATGCAGTTTGCCCCCGACGCAGATCTCCTTGAAGGCCATGGATGCCGCCTGCAACAAAAGAAGCGCCATGAACGCACAGAAAAATTGGAGAAACATGGCGAGCACGCGCCTTTGGACCACCATTTTGTTGGGGCCGGTGATGCGGTGAAGCACAAGGGTGGAAGCAAGTTTCTGAGCTCTTGGAGGTTTGTGCACGGAACTCTCCACTGTAACTTGTATTACAGTGGCCCCCCTACGCCATATCTCAGGAAGTACGTGTCGTTTCCAATCCCCGAGCCCAACAAGCAAGTGCTTGAAACTTCTGACTCAAAGCTGCTAAAGAACTGTGAAGAGGTGAGTGAGCCAAACGACCCCATTTCTGGTATGTGAACGTATATCCTTAAGGAACTTTGGAGGGAACAACCATGGGACCCCTCCGCACGCCCTCCGCGACCTCTCCGCTGGCCTGCTGCACTTGCTTGGTGCGTTCCAACATGTTGTTGGGACTGTTGGGTGGATCAGAAGCCATCAGAAGCATGCTGATCATCTCCAAAGACTCAGTCGATGTGGCGGTGTTTTGGGAGTCCATGGACCCAGTGGGTGTGGACCTCGTGGCGTGGCGGTGCCCCCAAAATCATGGTTCGCGAAGGACAACCGAACGCTGGGCGCAGCGTAACTTAGTGGAGTTGCAAACCCCTTCAGTCTTGAGTTTGACCAGATTGTGACTTTGAAATGGACAAGTGCTCCTGCACCACGCCGGAGGGAGCAACTATTCTGGACACAGTCCCATGCAGAAGACTTGTGCATCGCCGGAGGGGTTCCATGGAAACAAGAGAAGCACCTCCAGACCCAGCAGGACCAGTTCCACAGACCCAAACCCCAGCCGGTCTGCTGGTGAGTCGTTTGAAGAACATCTTGGCGTGACGTCCTACGACCAGTGGGGCACCATCGGACCATGGATCATGTGTCTAGATCTGGACCGTGTATTGACATGGGAGACCGAACCGGCCGCCTCCGACCCCTGGGCTTGCTTCGGGATATTCGACCAGTCTAACACACCCGGACGTTGTCATTCGAGGTCGACTCGTCCTGCGAGATCCACCGTCGCTCGCGTCACTCCGATCTGCGCTCGAATCACCCATCGCCCCAACACGGGCGGACTTGGCCTGTTGGGGGATGTCTTCCTTCCCTCTACGGGAGAAACTCTCTACAACATTCTACAACACACCCCGTAAGGCCTTGGCCAAGCAGATTTAACGTTGCAGGTCCGTGATGATCTTTTGAAGCAACGTCAGTCCACTGGCTGCTCACCCAAGGTGCTGATCTTAAAAAGTCTGGCCTCGTTTTCACCCACTGCCACAGGTTGCCTCATGGGGCGTGGCAAGACGGCGCACCTGGCCAAGGCCCTGAAGCTCCAGAAGCACTTATCGGCTGGGTATGTCTCGAAACACACCCAGAAAGATCACAATCACTTGTCACTTGTCGAAGGGAAACACCAGGAAACCTAAGTTCTAATATAATAAATGCTTTCATCACAGGGAAATATGTCAACTTGCTCAGATCATTGCTTTTCTGGTGATCCACTCTTGTACATTCTAGGTGGCCCAAGAATGGTCGACCATGCCTTGTCACCATGCCTTGCTGGTGATCCACTCTTTTAGTGCCTAAACCACCAGGTAGTGACCCAAAATCCGCCAGTCCCGGTGATCTCTACATTGAATTCGGCCAGGTGGCCCAACAGTTCGATGGCCGTCTTCTTGGTGAAGTGCAAAATCGCCCCGTCCACGCGCTCGGCCCCTTCGGGCGCCGTTGCCGAGATCAAGGGCGGTAAGGACTGGATCAGCTGCCACAGCACGCTGCCTTCGCGGACCTCCGCGCGCGAGGCGACCATGGTCAGCACGAAGAAGTGCGCCTCTTGAACCTGGGCCGCCCCACGGATCGCCATCGAGGTGTTTTTCGTGCCTTCCAAGCGTACCGGCAGAAGCTGTGCATGCGGCGTGCCAGGATGATGATATTCTACAGATCCATCAAGAAGCATCCAGAACGGACCCTGATCCGGCATCCACCCTGCTCACAAACACCTTTGGAGAGCGTGGATCACTCGTCTTGTAGTGTTATTAAGCTCGTTCTTTCGTATGATATGATACTATATATATTAATAGTAAATTAAGGCGGCTTACAGGTACCCTCAGGGTACCAAGTCCCACTCGGACCTGCAGCTGTCTACTGTTCTTCCTGCAAATCCCACACAAAATTGGAAAACAATGGGGAACATCTCTTTATGTATCATTATGTATCCCATCTTAGAAAAACACCTCGACCGTCCGACCTATGACCAAGGGTGTGAAAGGGCCGCAGAGCGAAGGGGTCTCTAGGACTCTAGGATCCTCTCTTACGCAGTGAAAAGAAGCCATTGGTGTGGTACTGATCCATCTGCTCTGGCACCACTATAGCTCACTAGCTCAGCATGCTGAAGCATGCTCAAGCTCACTAGCTCAAAGGGTGTCCAGAAGCGTCCAGCACGAGATCGAGAAGCGTCCAGACGGTGCAAAAGGGAGGATCTGAGGAGAAAAGAAGGCATGCTCATAAACAAGAAAAACCGACTCTCCCCGGGGGGGAGGATATATATACCACTCGGTGGCAAAACAAGAATCGGCCGGACATGGCTGTCTGCCGATCGAAGAATCGAACCACCATGCTGCTTCGGGGCATCCAAGCCATCAGACGAGGTCTCTCAAGAATGCACTGAGCTTATTCAGCATTAAGCTGTATACTCCGAGAACCATTAATTACCTAGAGCCAAATTCACATGGTGACAGCGTGTATCCTATTCCCTGTAGCAGTGGATTGATGATGATGGTCAGTAAAGGCCGTTCCCTAAAATGATGATAATTGTTTACCGACGATGACAGGCAATAGGACACCCCGAAAACATTGTAACATTGTGATAATGGTGCAAATGTCATCCAGGAGTTCGATCATCCAAGGAACTACGACTCCATTTTGCTGTCCACCAAGCAAGCTCTTCAGTACATGTTCTAATGCAGTATTCGGCGTCAGGACTTCCAAACAGTCCTCCGTGAAGAACCGCAAAGAATGCAGGAAGGCGCAAGAAGCAAGTGTGACAATTCCAAACAAAGCACATCTTTTTGGAATCAAGTCTGTTCGAACTTGAGTATAGTCCCGAAGACAACCACCAGTGTGGTGACTTCCATGTTTTTTTTCCTCATGCCTCATGTGCTCCGAAAGTCTGCTCACCAGGCACGACTTCCCCAGTCCTCGACCAGGCCCAAAATCCTTTGTCTGTATGCGGCGATTTCATCGTCCTTAGCCCGAGAAACTGCGGTGGGCTCGCGTCGGCGGTGTTCGGAAGACAAGGCCGCATGTTTTAGAGTCCAAAGTCACAATGTCATGCCCTGGTGTAGCTTGTGGATAGTGGTCTGGTGAACTTCCTGACTTATGCGCCTTCCTGATTGATGATGTTCCCATGTAACCAAAGAGAAAGTCCATATGGTCTGAGACAGGCAACCACGCGACCGACCCGTCTCAGGTCTCCGTGTTCGACCCTTCGATGGCCCGGTGGTTGATGCACTCCCATCATTGATCATATAAAAGGACCCTTTGGTTGATCTCCCATCATATACCTTGAGTCACAGTTTGAAAATCATGACCCAAGGATAAGGGCTTTTTTTTAAAAGAAGTTACCGTATGTTACAGTTGCATATGACATCAATATGACAGTAGCCTCCTCCACACTGACGCGAACACACCTTGGTTTCAAGGCCGTGGAAAAACACATCGGCAGCCGGCAGATGGTTCAAGGTGGCTAATGGTGGCTATAGAACATGTCCAACCATGTCCAACCTGTTCCAACTAACAGCCATTAATTTGCAAAGTCTTGAAGCTCTCTACAGTGACAGGCCTTGGAACCCAAGCACCGACTTTGGGCAGGAAAGCTATTTCCGTACAGTCCTGAGGGTCTGAACCCGTCTGAACAACCAGTTAACACGCACAAACACCACGAAACACTTCAATGTCAGTGCTTGGACATGCCCGAACACCCCCCCCCGAGGTTCCGTCATTGGGGTCTCCTTGCAAACAAGCTTCCGCAAGAAAGGGATCTTGTGTGGTACTCAGGGTGCAACGCCGGATGCTGGCGCTCAGGAGCTCCAGGTAGACACCCTGAAATTGATCGATCTTGACGTCAGTCTCCTCAGCACCGCGAACGGACACGTCGCGCCGCGAACGGACACGTCTTCCGCTCCAGCAGGCTCCAGCCGCTCCGCTCCGAAGCTCGAAAAAGTGACTCTTGGAGGCGCACTATGATGTACTTGAGAATTGCAAATCCCTGGGCCCGCCCTAGGGATGTAAAAACCACCTCCTCAGGTTCGCCCCCAAAACCTACCTCAACCACCTTCTCCTCAGGAGGTGGGCCAGAACACGCTGGCACTGGTCCAACCCATCGACCCCATCGACCGGGGAGACTGCCATGTGGCGCCCAGCGGCCGTCTTTGAAGGCGACTCCCACGTACAGCCCAGCCCTATATGCTGACTCCCTCAGTTTTTCCTATGGATAAAGGTGAACTGACCGGGTCGACCCCTATCCTATCCACATCTATCACCAGGTATCTGTCAGTTTTCCAGTGGATGATGGGGCCTGGTTGGCCTTGTTCCAAAATAGTGATTTGGCTTGTGACTGTTACAGGTAAGAACGGACAGACCCAAGGCTAACCTTTCCTTCTGCTTCTTCACCATTGGTCCCTTCGACCCCTCGGAATCGGATGAGAGAAACGCTGCAAAAACCACGTCCTGTCGACCCTCCGGAAAAGGAGGTGCCTGTACCCCAGACTTGTGAACACCTGGAGACTGGCCATCTTGGATGACTGCCCTCCATGTCAAGCTGTTGGTGGTCTTAAGACATCGTCAACTCCTGGTATACCATTTCACAGTTGATTAAAACAGAAATCATTCGTCTCCAGCACCACCCATTCGACCGGGCACGAGCTTGTGGGTGGTTGATCGACCCTCCGGACCATGTTCTATTCTATCCAACCCAACTGGGCGCTGCCCTGCTGGTTTCCAGATCTTCCCATTCCCCGTCATCGCGTTGAAGAGTGAAGACAGCGAGTTGCAGGATGCCTGCAAACTTCATCTGCCAGTCTGTGCCAAAACTCCAAGGGTATCGAGCCTTGGCCGCATTTTCTTCAAAAATCGACGATTTCTGAGCCAGAGCTGGATTGGTTCGGAGATCAGAAGAGCACCATCAAAATGGACAAAACTATACCAAATCCAGCCAGATCCTGTCAAACTCTCTGATCTACAGTTATCTGCTTCTCTGAACCTTCGGAAAAATCGTGTGAGTGTCCTCTTTCATTCTCCCCCCCACCGTCTTCTTCAGGCCAGCAACTGATTTCCTCGGACGGGAGGTCAGTGCAGCGCAAGATCACTTGAAGGATACTTACCTCGGAATTGCATGCCCTCACGGCCTGCGGGCCCTACGGGTCTGGCTGCAGGCTACCCCAGACCGAATTGTAAAAAAAACATTGCATGATCTTTATTTCAATATGAAGAGACGCGTTTCAAACATATAACTTATTAGAGGCTTTGGTGAGAGAAAGACTGACTTCGTCTTATCACGTCTGTTTTATCGATCCTTCGATTCCTTAATTAAGGACTTCGGGGAGAACTGACAGTACCATTCCGACAGCTTGCGATCTGCGCGTCGGCACATTGGGTCATCACCAGGGGCACCAAACATTCGCCCACTTCCACGTAGATGCGGCACACTTGCAGCAAGCTGTCTTGCTCCTTGGCCAAACGCAAAAGGAGCAAGAAGAAGGGCATAAAGAGCAAGTCAAGCAAGTGGCCGAGGGTTTTGCTACAGCTCACATTGGCATAGAAACCACCTCTTTGCAAAAGAACGAGGAGTCCTTGTCTGTGTTATGTCAATTGTAGGGGTAACAGCTTCTATCTGGAGGCAAAAAGGCTTGAACATTAGGTGGTTGTTTCTTGGGTACTAGTAACTGCATGGGCAGAGACCTGGCCACAGACTTCTGGCAGCTTCATGGACTCGGCCGGCAAGGCGTTCGGGTTTGGGAGAAACAATAATTTTTGGAGGGTTCCAAAAGGGGTGGGTCCAAGAAGTTTCTGACTGGCACTCCGTATTAAAAATGGAATGAGCGATGCCCCCGCCACTGTAGATTTCTCCATCGGCATTCTTTACGAGTCGCAGCAGTCAGCATTGTTCCGGCCAAGGGGCTCCGAAACTTCCCAACCACACTCCGCCCCCCAAGCCTCTCATAGCCTCTCGAAGTTCAACGGCAACCCGCCTGAAACCTCCGACAACCCACCGAAACCGACCGTGTTCGTTCGTTTCGCCCAGCGTCATCCAGGGCCACTTCCATGCCGCGGCTCAGTTGCGTCTCGAACTTGGACCTGGTGGTTCCGGCCACTCCCGGTCTTTCCCGGAGAGGAGAGCTTCCTACCGGGGAGGGGTCCGGGTGGGGTGGAGGAGTACCGCTTTTGAAAAAAGTATTCAAGTCCTGTGCTAAAAAATGATGTCCAATGTGAAAGACTTGGGAAAAAGGCGTGAGGTCATTGAGGTCATCTACCTGGAGCTAGTGCTAGGGCGCAAGGGCAGTTGCAAGGGCAGTTGCTTGATGGACTACTTCATAGAAAAACACCAACCAATGGAGCCTCGAACATCGAACCATCAAAGTTCTTCATCCACCCAGGACCTTTGATCTTCCACCATCTCACGGCCCTACTTTGGTCGAATTCGCGGCATCTCAAGGGCCTCAAACAATCAGGTACAGTATGCATAACTAAAAGGTTTCAAGAGCGTCAGAAGACCCATGGAATCAAACACATGCGTACCAGCACCTTCCAACAATTGGTGTGTTTGGAGATCCACAAGTAGTGTATATAGGGGCTTCCAGCCAGGTGACGCTCTTGGTTGGTTTAAACAATTCAGCAAACACCGCTCCCATGGTCTTCACGGAGACCACATCCGCCGGTGAGGTCTCCGACCCCAGTCCAAGGTCTCCGCTCTGTCGACGGTCTCCGGGAAATCCACGGTCTCGTGTCGACATTTGTAAAGAACGAAGGACTAAACAAAAAGAGCGTTGTTCCTTTTTTTGCATTTTTTTTCGGCTAGTTGTTGCCCCAAGGTGGTCCCCACGATGGAAAGGGTGTTGGACTCCAAACCGACCCTCCCTCCGGGTCCATCAGCCTCGAAGGTCCAAACGATTCGGGCATGGAAAGAACTGGAAACCCTTAATTACACTCCCTGGAATGATCATGAAAGTGGATGGCCGCATAAGGATGACTGTTTTCCTCGATAGCTCGATACTGTGGCTTTCCCCCTTTCATGATAATTCCAGAGAGTGCAAAGGTCACCAAAGGAATCGACCAAGAGTTCACCCGCAAAGCGCTCGGTCCCGCTGTCGGTGGACCAAGACCGCACAACTAGCATGCTCAACCAGCACGAAATTCGGAGCTTCAAGGCTCTAAGGTCAAATAATACCCAATCACCCCAGCTGGACATGCTCCTCTACATGGACCTTGTGGGTAAAACCTGCTGTATCCCCCGAACTCGCCAAGCCTTTCCTGACAAACATGAACAGGTCAACCAGGGACCAAGACCTGCTCATGCTTCGCTGCTTCACCCATGCCGCACTCATTTTTGCCGTCTTCCGGCCTCAAAGTGCCCAATTGACTCAAAATCACTTCGATCACCGGCTGGTACGCCGAGATGTCGCTGGAACACATCCTCAGTGAGACGACAGGAGTCTTCGCCAAGCAAAAACCGCCTCGCATGGCGCTCAAGAACAAACGGGCGGGATGGATCATGTTCTGGTATACGGTATATATAATATTGCCTGTTTGGTAAGTTGGTACAATACATCACAGTAGGCTTGAGTAGATCGGTTCATACAACAAGCATTTCCATGGAAAAAGGTGCTGGTCTCCGAGGGAATCCACTTGGCATCTACTCTGGGAACCGACTGAGACCAAGCGTCTTCGTGGCATTCGGTCATCGTCTCGCGTCGAAGCGAGGATGGTCCACTTCGGGTAAAGACACCATCCAGAGAAATGTGTTGTCCCCTTAAGCTTGGAATGTGAAAAGACACCGGAAAGCTGTCTATCTATTGGAGCTATAAATAAACAAGACTTGTTGGCGACTGAGTCTGAGCATCCGCAGCAGCTCCACGATGATGTCGGTGGCTGTTTCACTGAGATCGCCGCCGGAAACCACGTGTTTGAAGCACTCAGGGATCAAAGGATTCCTAGAGCTGCAGGAGCAAGGCATGACAAGGCCCCAGGCGGGGTGGCCAAGGACAAGGCCTTCTACCACCATCAAACAATCCATGGGCCCCAGGAGCGGCCCCTTGCGGCCGGACCAAGCCATCGAAGTCGGGACGTCAACATATGTCCGTCCGGAAAAATCTTCCTTAAAGCCACCCAGACTCTGTGCAATATCTGAGGCTTGCAAGTTGGTGTACTTGATCCAGCTCAGAAAGCACTCCAAAACCTGACCACGAAAAATGGAAGCAGGCGAAAACTCGGTGCACTCTGCAACAACTGGAAGCGCGGAACAACTCGGTGCACTGGACTTGTCCGTTTGACTCTGGACCGTCTTGTTCCCCTCAAGACGTGTCTCCACTTTACACTTCAGCTCTGAATCTCGGTGTCTGCCGGACCGCCCATGAGGTCGGCCGAGGAGCTTTCCTTCTCGCTTGCACTGTTGGGCATTGCAGGTTCAGAAGGAATTGGACCACTTGAGGCGTTGCCTCAAACGTCGGCGTGCGTCACGCGAGAAGAGCCCGGGTCATCTGGGGCGTCGAACGGTCACGGAGGTCCCAGGCATCTGAAACGCAGAAAAATCTACGGAAAGCTTAGCCCTCCCCAGACGCGACCCTGGACCCGAACCAACTGCTACATGTTGGTTCGGTCCAAAACGCGAGTTGTGAGGGTCAAAACCCTAGCTATGAGGGTCCAATGAGCCTTTGGGTCTTGAGCATTCTTGAAGCCGCCAACCGTTAGGCGATCCTCGTGAGATTGAGAAGGTTCTGTCAGATGGGTGACGGGTGGCTTTTTGTGCCTGACCATGTAGATACCGTCTAGACAAAGGTGGGGGAATGTAGGATCATGTAGGTAAGTATTATGTACAAGGACTCTTGGGATAAAAACAGATCCATCTCATTCCATCTCAAGAAGATATCTCAAGACTCAAGAGGTCCAAGGCCACGTCGGTCAGACCAGAGGCCAGCCCCTTACAGCTTGAGCCCAAACAGGGTCCAAACACTAAAGAGCCCAAGTCTGCACCGCTTCAGTTGGCGAGACTTAGCTTCAGCAATCCCCCCCAACCCTTGGAGGTCCTAGCGATGGCCTCCTTTGAGGTATATAGATATACCTACATGTATATGGCCTGCATTATATATATATGGCCTCAAAGGCGGTAGACATATATATATATATATGAAACACCGCTTGCGTAGAGGTTCCCCCACCCTACCACCCAGAGGGA